ATATATATTAATTTTATAAGAAGGATTATTGAAAATATTTATATCAGAAAAATTAATTTTAAGATAAAAAGCTTGAAATTAGCAATGGTTATAAGCCCATCTCAGTTAAAACCGTTGCGAAACCCATCAGAACTAAAATCCTTCTCTCAGAGTTTTAGAACCGATGCTATTAGTCTTTGAAGTGTTAACAATTAGGAGAGCTTAAAACTGCCATCATGAAAATAGCAGTTAAAACCGTTGCAGAAGTCTTCACAACTTAAAATCTTCTCTATCGATTTTAAAACTACTGCTAAAAGTCTTTGCAGTGCTAACAATTACAACGGTTTAAAATCACTTGTGTAATGAAATAATAAGGATTTTTACCAGTGTGACAATCTATATAAACTTCTACGATAGCCTCTATAAAGTATTGTTAAAACTAGGGGTGTAAACGAACCGAACACGAACGAACAAAGCTTGTGTTCGTGTTCGGTTCGTTTAAAATTTAGTTTGTTTGAAATAAGCTCGTGTTCGTTTCTTAACGAACGAGCCGAACACGAACCGAACACGAGCTGTTCGCGAACGACGAGCCAGTTTGACATCCCTAATATTAATATATAAAAATAATATTATATATTAATTATATAACTTATATTATATAAATATACAATATCTATATTAGTATATTACTACTATAGTATATTAATATATTATTATTATTATTTTATTATATATTATAATTTATAAAATTTAATGTTTTAAAATATAATAATTTTTTTATATATAATTATTTTATATTATTTTATATTTCAAACAATAACGATTCGAACACGAACGAACGCATCACTGTTCGTGTTTGGTTCGTTTAACTAACCGAACGAAAAAAATTTGTTCGTGTTTGTCTCGTTCACTTATCGAACGAATCGAACACGAACTCATTGACGAACCGAACACGAACTGTTCGCGAACAATGAGCTTTTTTGACAGCCCTAGTTAAAACCCTTTTTTTCAGGTGAGACAAATTTAAATTAAGTAATTCTTAATATTACCCTTCAAAATTTGGTATATAAAATGAAGTGCCAAACACGTCTAATATATGTTAAAACCTTCATCATAGTGAATATTTAAAAATTATAAATAAATAAATAAATAAATCTTTTATCAAATGCACGTGCCATAATTTGGATGTAATTATGGAATATTATGGCAGAAGTATGTAAAAGTAGAAAGTTAACATAATAAAACTCTTAATTCTAAAATAGGTAAGTAAAATAGGACTATAATGATTATTGTTTTAGACTGCCTACCTCTCCTTTTAAAATAACATTCGGTTTTGCTTTCCTTGAAAAAATAAATCATTATATGAGTTGTTTTATATGCATTTTAATTAGTTTGTGCATTTATTATATCATTTTTTTTAGGGTTTTAATATGATTGGCTCCAGAGTCAAAGTACAATGATTTATAATTACTTTTAGCAGTATATATCTGAGCAAGTGACATCAATACAATAAATAATTAGCATAATTGCAAGTTATAAGCTGTGCTTCCTTATGTTTGCCCCATTACTCTAGTTATTTGTAGTATTTGGTTTTATAATTACTATGATGGGTTTGTAATTATTAGGATATATTCACTGTCATTTCTATATATACCTTGTCAAATGTACATAAAATGCAATAAAAATAGTTCCCAAAATCTCTCCTACCATTTTAATATTTACCTCATTTTATATATATATGAATCTTTTTTCTCCATTGCATCCTATTTAGTGTCATATTTTCATTTAGTTCTAGTAAATTAAGATCATTTTTAATACAATAAGTCCAATTCTTTCTAGGTCTACCTCTGCCTTTCTTAACACAAGTCGAATCTAAAATATCTACTCTCCTAAACGGATCATCAGATGGCTGACGTTTAATGTGACCAAGCCATCTAAGACAACTTTTGTCCGTCACAGGAGCTACACCAACCCTATCACAGATATATTCATTTTGCATATTGTCTCTAAGTGTAAAGCCACTCATCTACCTAATCATTCTTATCTCGGCAACACTTATTATTATGCTTCTCTTTTAAAGGCCAACATTCAGCGCCATATAGCATTGCATGTCTCACCACTACCTTATTAACTTTTCTTTTCAGTCTAAGCGGTACTTTTCTATCACACAAAAGGCACGAAGCGTTCCTCCAACTCAACCAACCAACTTGAATTCTACTATTAACATCACCATCTATATCACCATCACTTTGAACAACGGACCCAAGATATCTAAATTGTTCACACCTTTTAATAATTTGATCACCCAAAGTCACACTTCTGTCACTAGAGCTATTACTACTAAAATTATATTCCATGTATTCAGTTTTAGTTCTACTTAAATGAAGGCCTTTAGACTCCAATGTAGACTTCCATAATTCAAGTTTTTCCCGGGCTTTTTCTCTCGTTTTATCCACGAGAAGGATATCATCAGCAAAAAAACATACACTAAGGTAGATCTTCCCGTAGATGTCCAGTAAGACCATCCATAACTAAAGCAAAAAGATATGGGCTTAAAGCCGATCCCTAATATAATCCAACAGAAATAGGAAAATATTTGGTCAATCCTACTTCAGTTTGAACACAAGTAACAACTCTAGTATACATATCTTTAAAGTGAAATCAAACAAAAAAAAAAACTATCAATAAATCTTATTTATGAAGTGAGTGAAAAAACATCATTAAATCTTAATAAAATAAAAGAATTTGGAGCATCAAAAAAAAAAATTAATTAGATAAATATATTGCTCTAATGCACATATATACAACATGTATGCAAAACCCCAATAAAGCTTGGCCAATAAATCATAAAATATGATAGAATGGGACAAATGAGCTCTTGTAAATGTTTAAACTGAAATTTTGAGGGCCACATCCATCAATATTCATTAAAGTCAAAAGTTACAAAGTTACCATGTGATTACATATATGAACAAGAAAAAGCATAAATATTATAAGATGTTACAATTGATACAAATATTCTTTTCCACCCAAAAAGCATAATATAAAAGGTGAGTAGCACTTTGATATACACGGCCAATAAGAGCAACATCCATCACATTCAACCGAACCCAAACTAGATCACCCCCTAACCGCAACCGTATGTAAAGCAAAAAATAAACCAAAAATTAAAAATAAAGTAACCATTCACAAATCTAAAGTTATCTCAAGGAGTGCAAAGCTTGAATAGCGTGGAATGCCCTAAACCAACAATCAAACTAGCCAATATAAAGGCGATCAAAATGTGGAAATTTGGAGAATAGTAACACTTGAGATGCATACATATGATTCGCAGTGAAGACAGATCGAGGAAAACGAGAGAGAAGCCAAAGCAAAAAACACTCACTATTATGCTCTAACCCTAGAAGCCCGTAGTGAAGACGAGGGAAAAGCCAAAGGCAAAAGGGTAAATATCGCGGATAAAACATGCATTTGCCGAAAAGGTGAAGGTCAATGACCTCTTTTCTCAAACAAGCAGCGGATCGTTTTATGGAACCTTTTCAAAACTGACTTTGGGAATGGGATTTTACGAAAAACTGTTAAAAAGCGGGCTCCCAAACTCGTGAATTCAGCTTTTCCAAATGGAAAGCGGCGAAAAAGCCCTCTCAAACACACACATTCTCATTTTCCACGTTGAGAGCACAAATAATTGACATATATTAGTACTTCTAGAGATTAGAGCATCTTAGACTTTGAGCGGGCCTTTAAAGATTTTACATACAAATAAAACATCTTTGATAGCATAATCTTTAAACCAAATGAATTTCCTTATTGAACCACATAATCATTAGAAAACAAGGAGGAGAAATTAGTTTTGTAAGAAAAGGCAGAATTTTCCATCCAATAGCGCATGTCAATTAAAAAACAACTTAGAATGAGAATATGCTCCTATGATATATACTTGACATCAAATTTCAGATCTTATCTCTTCGATATAGCTAAACTATTATATAATATTATAAAAATATTATCAAAATGTGTCAAATTATTTGAATACTATTAAATTATTAAATATTTAAGAGTTTTTTTTTTTATAAATACCTAATCATATAATTATATTGTCCAATAGTTTAGATATATTTTTCTGATATTTTTGATATATATCATCAAATAATTTTCTTACATTAAAGAATAATACACGATGAATAGAATTAAGGACATATATATTATAAAATTAGCCTAATTCTAATATAACATATATTATAGTATGCTGACATAATTTTTTTACTGTATTTTCTGTGAAGAAATTAATCATTAAGAAATACATAACGAATTACATAGTACATAAAACATTATACACATTTCCTTACATACAGATTGAATTATATATAAATATATTAGATAGATAAATACTTAATTTAGTTCTATATATGCATTACTGTTATCAATTTGCAGACACAGCCCCCTAAATTTAGTGATTTATATTAAATTCTTATATTGGCAATTAATATGATAAACTAGCAATTATCAAAATAAATCTGAATTATATCATCTACTTCATAATTTCCAAAATTTCTCCCTCAATCAAGATGTATGCAATAAACTTAGGCCAAATAAAGTAAATATCAATAAATCAACTCGCCCACAAAAGATGAAAACTTTTACAGTAGAAGCATGAATTTGAGAAAAATAATATTGCATCCGGAGTCCGGACGTAACGTTGTATCTGGACAATGGACGCAATTCATCGGACGGAGCAGAGGAGGAAAAAAAAAAAAAAATCATCCCGATGTATAGCGTCCGTTGTCTGGACATTTAAGGAAAAAAAAAAATGATAAAAGATAAAAAATAGAGAAAAATTAAAGCTCATCTGCAAAATTTAAATATACTATGGATTATAATAAACAGTCTTAAAAGTGCTGGTAAACTATATTTTATATCTTACATTAGAGGCATGGTTTTGTATCTTCTATAACAGGAAACCCCTATAACAGGGCAGCACTGCACAACACAAGGTCCGGCAACAATGCCGGGAGTCAAGAGTTGTTTTGTAGCCGAGACTCCTCTGCATTCAATCCATCACCCCCATTATCGAAGTTAAGAGCGTAGCTAACAGGATCGTACCTAAACTCTCCGCAATGGCGGCGAGGAGATTTTCCGATCAGCATCTGGCAACAATCCTTGATCTCAGGGGACTCTGTAAATCTTGTCCGGATACAAGGAGGCGGCGATCGGATCGTCGGCGGCTCCGTTTCCGGTGGCTCTTCGCAAACGGCGACGCTAATGCAGCAAGGAAGCCTAATTATCGGCCAGGGTTTATGACGCGGCGATCGAGAAGAAGACGGTTCAATGTTTTGGTGGCGGGATTCCATTTCCAATGCGGAATTGCGCTAGAGTTAGGGTTTTGGATTAAGGGATCAGGTTGAGGGAGCTGGGAGTCAGTTGGGGCGGTCAATTTATAGCAGGGGAGGAAAGAACGGATAACGCGACGAGGACGAAAAAAACAGAGTTTCGGTTTCGGTTTCGGTTGATGAAAACCGCATTTTAAGGGCATTAACGTAATTTTTAGTTGAGTGAAGCGAGGATTGAAGAAAGGGGAATTGCATCCTGCGTCAGCATGCACTTGGAAAATAGTTGAAGATGATTTTCTCATTTTGTTAGTCATTTAACAAACTTTATTTTTAATATAGAAAATATGAGAATGGATATAACTAAATCAATAAAAATTTATATTTCACTTATTTGAATTTATCACGAGGATATATTTTTGTTACAAATATACTTGAAGATGATTTAATCGATTTTTTGTTGGAAATCATTTAATATGGTGATTAATAATGTTTGAATTATTAAATATATTTATTATAGAAGGTATATTAGAATATTTATCAAACATTTAAGGTAAAAAGATATAGTCATTATTATAATAATATTGTATCCTCAATATTAATTGTACTCTTATTTATGATTTATTATTACATTCATCTAAAGCATGTCTCTCTCTCTCTCTCTCTATGTATGCATGCATGCATGTATGGATGTATGTGTGTGTGTGTGTGTGTGTGTGTGTGTGTGTCTATATATATATATATATATATTTGTATGTGTGTGTGTGTGTGTCTATATCTATACATACATACATACTTAAAATATCTATACACACACACACACACAGATATATATACATACATACATCTACATATACATGCATGTATATGTAGATGTATGTATATATATGTATATGTAGTGTGTGTGTGTATGTTTGTAAATATATGTATATATACATGTATACATACATACATACACGTATACATGTAATACATGCATACATGTATGTATATATTCATACGTACATGTATACATACATACCCATTTGTGAGAAATGGCTAATATATAAGAGGTTTTACTGTTTATTTCTCTCACACACTCTCTGTCCTTTCGAGTCTCTTAAAATATATTCCAATAATCTCGTTATTAAATAAAATACAATTTTGTAAGTACGGTTATTATCTTATATTTGAACAAAATAATTTTATTCAAATTTTTATGTGATTTAAATGTGGATAAGAACATTTTTTTTAATAATCCAAAATAATGTTGAATTCAATTTTCTATATTAGCATTATATTTTATGAGATCAATTATTCACATTTATCAGCAATGCTTGTATATATTATTATGTGATATTTTTAACTATGTGTTAATCAATGGGTAGGAGTGGGTCCATTGGTTAGATTATTTGATTTTATTTGAGTTTTCTAACTCTTCTAATGTGCTAAATGAACAGTTTGGTGGAGAGGACAGGCCTTTGGAGTGATTGTAATGATTATGAAGAAAAGTGTGTTTGAAATAAGTTTTTTTATTGTATTTTAGGTTCATTTTCAATATTTTTTTTTCGATTTAGATTATATTTTTCTGATTTAAATTATGTGTTTGGTAGTAAGTTGTGAGTACAAAAATAATAGCAACAAGCCTTTATTCCACTAAGTGGAGTTGGCTACATGAATCTTTTTTTCTTTATTGTGTTCTACTGAGTGTCATATTTTCATTTAATTCTAATAAATTATGATCATATTTATATAATATGCCCACATCTTTCTACGTTAACATCTGTCTTTCTTAACATAAGTCGAATTTAAAACATCTACTCTCCTAACAAGATCATCAGATGATCAACATTTAATGTGAACAAACCATCTAAGATAATTCTCTCTAATTTTGTATGTCACTACAGCTACACCAACCCTATCAAGAACATATTCATTTTGCATTTTGTCTCTCAGTGTAAAGCCACTAATCCACCTATGCATTCTCTTCTCAGCAACAATTTACCTGATTTTATGCTTCTCTTTTAAAGGCTAACATTCTATGTCATAGAGCATTGCAAGTCTCACCACCATCTTATAACAAAAAAATTTTCAGTCTAAGCGACACTTTTCTATCACACAATAGGCCCAATGCATTCCTCCACTTCAACCAACCAACTTCAATTATACTAAGAACATCCCAATCTATATCACCATCACTTCAAATAATATACCAAAGATATCTAAAGCGTTCACACATTTTAATGATTTGATCACCCATGCCACTAAAGCTACTACTACTAAAATTACATTCCATGCATTCAGTTTTAGTTCTACTTAATGAAGGTCTTTAGACTTCAATGTAGACCTCCGTAACTAAAGGTTTTTTTTTTTTTTTGCTGAAGTCCTTCTCTAATCTTTTCTGCAAGAAGAATAATATCAGTGAAAAGCATACACCAAGGTACATCCTCCTGCAACTGTCCAGTAAGAGCATCCATAACTAAAGCAAAATGATATAAGCTTAAAGCCGATCCCCGATGTAATCCAACTAAAATAGGAAAATATTTGGTCAATCCTCCTTCTCTTCAAACATAAATAACAGCTTTGGTATGCATATATTTAATGACTTGATAAATAACATGTTTGGAAAAGATAGAAAATAACAACAGATAAATCTTACTACTCTTCAAGGTATGTGAAGCTCGCGCCCCTGTGATTTAGTAATGTGGTAATTCATGATTTCCTAAACTTTCTTCAAAGTGATTATTATCAATAAAGATAGAAAGTCCTCATTATGCTTATTTTTAAGTCAAAAGAATGTTAGAAACCATGAAATTAAAGCTTCCTCAATCCCTATGGCATCCCGCAGATTTCTTCTGATCCACTTTCTAGATTGTGAAACCCAGATAAAATATGTCTATCGTTACCCGGCTTTTGTGGGTTAACCATTTCATTCCTCTGTGCAATGGGTAGGAGGCACAGATCTTGAAATATGCTAACATCCTAATTGATTAAATCATAAGTAAATAAAACTCTATGGTTAACACAACAATGAAAAAAGCATTGATGTTTAAGGAAAATAATACAGAGAAAGAAATCATCTGAGAAAACCATAAACCCACATCCCATAAATCACAGAGTTGCAAGAGAAAGTTTAGATACACATGATAGAAAGAACACTAGAAAAAAATTCCAACAAAATGATTGTTGCAAGTAAAACTGAAAAGTAAACACCTACAAAATGATTTGTTCATTCTTCCACAATAGTCAACTCTTCCACAATAGTCAAGTCCTCTCTCATACAATAATCTCTCAAAACATATAAGAACAATAAAAAGGAAAAAAGTAAAAAAAACCCTTAGAACCACAACCCAAGAGAGGAAGAGGAAACCTTAGGAAAACTCTCAAAAACCTCCTCTCCAGCCAACACCAATTCTCCTCTCCACCCGAGGATGCTTCTATTCGTGCCCTAGTTTTTGTATTTAAAGATCCAACAAAAATTGGTATGAAAAACATTCCAAAGCGAGATATGACAGTATGATGGCTTCACCTTGCCAGAACCTAGTGTCATGCCCAAAATGGGTGTGGTCATGCCAGAAACTGGTCCGGTCACACCAAGTTATGGTGTGACTGTGTCAGACAACACTAAATCACACATTTTAACCGTGTTTTGCGTGTTCGACACCCGTAACATGCAAAATAACACAAAGAACCTTTCAAAAGCATAAAAGCATGATAAAAAATTTGAAATAAAAAATAAAATATAAGAATAAAAGTGAGTCAAATTGCATAAAATTGATGCATGTCAATCATGTAAGTATATGTGTCGATCAAATAATATACGAATTATGAGTCCATGTATCGATCCCATGATGAACTATATTATTTTTCAAATAAGTTAAAATACTAGTTTACTAACCTTAAATATAATTTAAAATAGTGAGAATTTTTAAGATTAAAAAAGTGTCTAAATTGTAATTTCAGGAAAATAAAAGCTAACTAGTTTGAGTTTTTTAATATGAAAATCATACTTTTTTGAATTGGATTACGTGAATCCTTAATATCCTTTCAATTAATCTTCCAAACTTAATCTTGCTAATCAAGTACAATTACCTCTTACTCTATTCCTAAACATAAAGAGGGTTAGAGTCTCATATTATAATTAATTTTTTTTTAACTCAGCAAAGCCTCCCAAGATTTCTCATTCCCTAGACGATTGTATCTCTAATGACATTATTCCTACTCCACAAAGTGAATGAGTGTTAACTTACTTGTTCTTCTAACCTAAGATCAATAGTCTTAAATCACAAGGGTTCTTAACTTCTTAAGTGGACATATTGAAAGTAAATTAAGTTTGAAAAGTTAACACATCAACATGCATTTAAAACATCAAAATAGTCTTAGAAAAATCTCATTGATTGACTATAATTCATCACATTACCAGTTCAGAGAAGCATAAATTACTTTGTTTCTAAATATGTGAAAACATCAAGCATATTATATTGAATTAAAAAACAAGTGTACACAAATAAAACATAGTCAAACTAGATATGAATCTTTGCCCCCCCACACTTCAATTCACTTTATCACACTTACAACAGAGAAATCACACTCCTACACACTTTAAGCACTCTCATAAACACTTCCTAGTGTTCTTCTTTCATGCTTAAGTATGTCCCAATCCAAAACCTCCTTCCTGAACAAAAATCAAGTGATTTTAGTCCTTCTGATCGCTCAAACTGTCAGAAACCACCTTAAGCTAGTGGGGAGCACAACAACACACAGAAAAACCTTAAGTAACCTTTTAACAATAATGATAATTGATATTTATGATTTCTTAGATTACTTTTCATTAGAAATAATATAAGTTTGACATTTTGCTTGGGGTGTATTGCTTGAACCTTAATTAAAACATTTAATTAATAGATTTCGACCGCCTCATCATGCAATGCCTTGCATCAGGTATCATGGGATGTAGCATTGAAGTATTTTCAAAAAATCAAATATGTATTATAAATCATAACATTATAGGTTAATTTCTTTTTAAAATATAAGTTTGTTGATATGTATGACATACTGACCATTAAGAGGGTCTTGAAGCTACTCATATATTCAAGTA